CCTTGTCTGAAATTTTTAAAAAAGGGCTGAGGATATAGCCCTGGGTTCAGTCCCCAGCAGTGCTAATGAACTTTTTAGAGCTTTCAATGATACAGAACAGCCTCCTGCAGCATGTGTGCTGTAGGGGAAGTAGGGAGAGGATGAACTTTGTAGGAAATAAGCTCGATACAAGATCCCAAACATGTTTCCTTGGACAGTTTGTGAGATAAATGCCTTCTGCACATTCAATCCAGAATCTCGCTCTTTGCTTGCCTTTCTCATCCTTTGTTTTTGTGAGAGTCAGTAATGTCCACTGCTGCTAAGAAACTTTGCTAGTAGGGGCCAGGGATTTAGCTCAGTGGTTTCGCCACCTGCTGCACAAGTGCAAGGACCCGAGTTCAATCCCCAGTACCAAAACAAAAAAACAAAAAAAACAGAAACTTTGCTATTAGGCCAGGGATTTAGCTCAGTGGTTCCACCGCTTACCTTGCAAGCACAAGGACCCGAGTTCGATCCCTGGTACAAAAAAAAAAAAACAAAAAACTTTGCTATTTAGGAACTCTTCTAGAGAAGGATAATTACATTTGCTGTAATTTTCTTTTTTTTTTTTTCTTGTTTGGTACTGGGAATCGAACCCAGGGCTTTGCGCTTGCCAGGCAGGCACTGGACCACTGAGCTACATCCCCAGCCCTGCTGTATACTTCAGATACCTACATGGAGGACTGAAAAATATTTCACTAATTGAGTTCGAGTAGGGATCTAATACATAAATAAGTACAGCCTCTCTTTGTACTTAATTGACACACAGAATTAGACTGGTTGAGAAAATCTTTCTAAAATATTCTTCCTCTCTTTAAATAAAGTTGAATGTTTTATTATTAAATTGTTTCTTACTTTGCTGTAAAGCTGTTGCTTCACTGTATAAAAATAACACTATGAAGCCATGCTTGGTGCATGCCTATAATCTTAATACTCTGGCAGGCTGAGGCAGGAGGATGGAGCTCAGCCTGGGCAATTTAGTAAGATCTTGTCTTAAAATTAACAACAACAACAAAAAGAGGCAGGTATGTATGCAGCTCAGTACAGATTTCAGCCTCTAGTATTGCAAAAAAAAAAAATCACTATCATATATACCATATTCTTCATTTAACGCTGTATATAACATGAAAAAAACTTTTTTCTTAGTTATTTCCAATAGGAAGATCATTGTTTTATCCCAAATTGAGTGGTACATGTAAGCATATTATAACATATAAGGCTTGAGATAACAGTGTTATCCTTACAGATCCTTATACATCTTGCTTTTTTGTTTTGTTTTTGAGATACAGTCCTGCTGTGTTGCTCCTGGATTCAAGCCACCCTTCTGTGGGAGCCTGACAAAGGCTGAGACTACATATATTATGTATACCACGTCTGGCTTTTTTTTTTTTTTTTTTGGTACTGGGGATCGAACTCAGGACCTTGCACTTTTGAGCAGGTAGCGGCACCACTGAGCTAAATCCCTGGCCCTCTTTCAGCTTTTTTTTTAACCCCTCAGATCTGGGAATTGAACCTAAGGCTTTCCATGAGGCAAAATCTTACTAAGTTGCTAGCTGTTTTATAACTAGTTTTTACAGTGGACAGTTTTGCCAGATGTGGTACAGCACACCTGTAATCCCAGCACTCAGGATTAAATAAACAAACATTTTATTTTTTTGAGACAGGGTCTTGCTATGTAGTTCAGGCTGGCCTCAAACTTGTGATCCTCCTGCCTCAGCTTCCCAAGTTTTAGGGTTACAGGTGTGTGTCACCATACCCTGCTACAATAATTTTTTGAGTTCTGATATCATAACTAGCATCTAGTGTCTAGCCCCAAAAGAGGATATTGTGGAAAATGGGCATGTTGTATTTGTAATTATTAGGAAATTAAAGGAGTATTTTCTTCCAGTAGCAGTGGTACAGATACTTCTTTTTTCATTACTATTGTTAAAATTGCTACTTTAAGTATTCTGTTTAGATGTGGTTTTTTATATAATGGAGTACTACTCTCCCATAAAGAAGGACAAGCTTGAGGCATTTCTAGCTAAATGGATGCACCTTGAGTCCATACTCTTGGCTTTTTTTTTTTTCTGGTACTGGGGATAGAACTCAGGACCTTGCCCTTGCAAGGCAGGCACAATGCCACTGAGCTAAATTCCTGGCCCCATCGAGTCCCTCCTCTTAAGTGAGATAAATCGGACACACATGATTAAATACCACATTGTTTCTCTGGTGTGAGAAACTGAAAATGGAAATAAGTACCAAAATGTATAATAGATATAATTGGGAAATGGGAAGAAAATGTTCAAATGAGAAGGGGAACATGGGAGGGAGGTGGGGGAAGGGAAAGAAGGGCAAGAAAAAAATAGAAGGAAAAAATAGAAAAAATCTTCTGAAAATAAGGAGAAGGGGCCGGGGATTTAGCTCAGTGGTTTTGTCGCCTGCTATGCAAGCTCAAGGACCCGAGTTCAATCCCCAGTACCAAAAAATAATAATAATAATAAGGAAGGGAAGAGGGGTAGAAGGGAAGAGAGGGAAATGGGAAAAAAAAGAGTTAAAATACATCATGTATCCAGGCGTGGTGGTGCACACCTGTAATCCCAGCACTTGAGAGGCTGAGGCAAGAGAATCACTGTGAGTTTGAGACCAGCCTGGCTACATCATGAGACCCTGTCTCAAAAAAAATATTATTTACCACTAATTTATGATAATGATCTTAAACTGAGTTGCTTCGAGTAGTTTATTTAGAAGTTCACTTTGATCTTAAATTTTACTGAATTCTTGTATGGTCGTTTATGTAGAAAGTGCCTGCCCTGAGTCACCAGGCACTAGTGAGAACCGTGCAGGGAGCTAGAGCTGAGGCTGCATGCAAACTACAGGCTGCAGCCCTATTATCTGCTCACTGCTTGCAGCACTATGTTTGTAGGGGTGCTGTGGTCACCAGGAAAAATTTTTTAAATTAAAAAAGGGGATGCTGGAGATGTAGATTCAATCCTCTATACAAACAAAACAAAAAACAAGCATGATGGTGCACACCTGTAATCCCAGCACTTGGGACTAAGTCCAAGACTCAAGTCTACAGATCTTGACATGACCCACAGACCCTCTGGCCCACTGTGGCATCCTTCCCCCTAGGCCCTGTCTGCTCAGCATCCTTTAGACTTGCTGAGCTCATGCCTCCTCTCTGTGGATGTGTTTTTTTCTTCTGTTGGTAATATTCTTTCCCCAGGGTTAATGATAATTGAGCTAAATATCAGCTCCTTAGGGAAGTCTTACCTCACCCTTGAGATTGACTAGCCTCAAGCTTGGTATACTTTTCTTTTAGAGCACTTATTACATCCATAAATAGTTATTTGTATAATTACTCATTGATTGCCTATTTTCCCTAATAAGACTAATTTCAAGAGAGCTATAACTTTCTTAAAGTCATGTGGTAGCACGTGCCTGTAATCTCAGCACTCAGGAGGCTGACACAGGAGGATTGCCGTGAGTTTGAAGCCAGCCTGGAATACATAGTGAAACCCTGTCTCAAAAAACAAAAGCAGGGCTGGGGATTTAGCTCAGTGGTTCTGCTGCCTGCCTGGAAAGTGCAAGGACATGAGTTTGATCCCAAGTACAAAAGAAAAAAAGCAAGGGGCCTCGGATTTATCTCAGTGGTGCCACCACCTACCTTGCAAGCACAAAATCCCAAGTTCGATCCTGGGTACAAAAACAAGAGGCCAGGGATTTCGCTCACCAGCACATACCTTCCTTGCAAGTGCAAGGTTCTGAGTTTGATCTCCAGTACCAAAAAAAGAGATACTTGTTAATTATTTGTTGAATAAATGCAAGAGCATCTTTACACAACCTATAGTCTAGTAAGAGGACAGCAATAATTGCAACACAACATTTTTTGGTTTTGGGGGGATTTTGGTACGAGGATCGAACTCAGGACCTTGTGCTTGCTAGGCAGGCACTTTGCCACTGAGCTACATCCCAGCCCGACAATGTATTATTAAATGTGTGTGTGAGACCAAGCCATTAGGGTCCAAGTGTAAATAGAGAATAACTGGAGAGTGACACATGATGCTAGAGGATGGTGCCACCAGCAGAGAGGAGGAGTACCCCTGCCAGGTAGGAGAGGGAGTTTCCCAAGGAGGTGACTATTGAGAGCAGAAAGCATAGGAATTAGCTGGACTAAGGTGGTGGCTGGGGGAGGAAGGAAGCATGACAGGAATAAAAGTAGTATTCCAAGCAGAGGGGTCCACATGCACAAAAGACAGTATGACACACAAAGCCCAGAGATGAGAAGTGGGGAATAAGTAAGCCTGGGGCTTTTTTTTTTTTTTTTGGTACTGGGGATCGAAGTCGGGTCCTTAGTTTGCGAGGCAGGTGGTGGAACCACTGAGCTAAATCCCCAGCCCAAGCCTGGGGCTATTAGTCAGTTTAAAGATCTGGACACCACTGGGGCTGGTGGCATACATCTATAATTCTAGCACTCAGGCTGAAGCAGGAGGATCCCAAGTTCAAGTCCCACCTGGGTAATTTATCATGACCCCATCAGAAAAAATAAAAAGGGTTAGGGATGTAGCCTAGTGTGAAGGCCCTGGGTTCAATTCCCAGTAAGAAAAAAAAAATTTGAACTTTGTTCAGTGGCCAGTGGGATGCCATTGAACCAGTGAAAGTTAGGGACTAGGATGATATCCACATTCCGGAAAGATCACTCTGATGACAGACCCACCCAGGAAGGCTAAGGAGGGGCTTGGTCCTGTCCTCTGATCAGAGAGGCACATTCTCACGGTCCCTAATAGGTGCTACTGTTGGCCAGGTTCTTTTCAGGGAGGGAAAGAAAAAGAAGCTGTGAAAAAGCCACTCTGGTTGGGGAGAACAGAGTCCTGGGTGCTAGGAGAGAAGGTTCAGGGGGTCCATACCAGTGTCTAGCTCCTCTCTTTCCACCCTTGTGGTCTGGGCAGGGGGACACACCACAGTCCTCATGAGGTGAATGGTTGTTGTTCTGTATTTAGTGCAAGAGACTGCACGGGTCCAGAGCGACCTGAGGTTTGAGGCAATACAAGAAAAAGGCAATGCAGAGCAGGCCATCCTTGAGATGCAGAAGAAATTTGAAGCTGTAAGTATAAATTCCAACTTTTTTGCTTAAATTTATTTTTAGCTTTGTAATTAAGATCCAGAAATCAGCTAAGAGTTACACATTCTCAGCCAAGACCAGAGGCTAGCACAGGCCCCTTGAGAATGAGTCAGGGTACAGGCCAGCCTCCCTCCAGGGTTCCCCAGCAGGACATGGCCCCAGTGCTTTCCCCAGAGGATAGCTGTGTTTAGCCTGAGAGGTGTCCAATGGTTCCACTCATATTTTTTTGTGCCTTTTGACTTGCACTGACCATTTTCTGCTTTCTCACTGCTTCTCCATAGAGACAAACAGAGTTTATAGAAATGAAGTCCAGCCTGAAGCACCTTGAGGTTTTAGTTGCCCAGCAGAATAAGGACTTCCAGCAGCTATGTGAGCATCTAGGCCAGCTGCACATGCCTGATGTCCTCGAAGAGCTAAAGAGATTGATCTCGGCACCTCAGGTACCTAGGCACGTGAAAGACAGTGCTTCTCAGACCTCACCATCTCTAGCCCAGAGCCTCAGTTTCATCAAGCAGAGTAAACTCACCTGTGAGGAGCCAGTTGCATGGCAGATCCAGGCCGCCCCTGCTGCAGGGAACTGCAGTGCAGGCTTCCTGAGGCCTGGGGAGTTTGGTGTCTGGGGTAAGCAAGCAAAGAGTGATTCTCTCCAAGAAAAGGCTGCACTGCCAGCAGTTGAGCCTTGTAAAGGAAATGAGCAAGTTAAGGACAAGGAAATGCAGACCAACTGCCAGGATTTAGCTGTCACTAAAACAAGTCCTAAGAACCATGGCTCCAGCATCCCAGACCACAAGGCATGTGCTGATAGAGACCTTGTTTCCCAAGGAGGCTCACAGCTTATATCCCTGGACTTAAACGACGTTACAAACAGCATTCAGAATGTCTGCCCAGAATATCAGGCCCAAAGTATATTTTTTTGTGACCCATGTCAACAGTTGGTGACTGAACAGAAAGGCAAGACTGTAGAAAGAGGGAGGAAAAGCAAGAAGCAGCAGCCCAGGAAGGCCCACAGGGGCAGGGTCCCTGCTAGGAAGCGAGAACAAACCCCGAGCAAGACCCGTGCTTTTAACCCCAAATACCAGAGTACCCTGTCTCCAGTTTCTGGCCCAGGAAGACCCCCCACAGGGCAGCAAGAGCTCCTTGCTCAGGCCCTGTGTTTGCAGGGTCCCAGAAGCTCCCCAAAATCAGTCTGTCCTGCTCTAGGAAGAAGAGTCAAGCCCAGCAAGACTGCAAGGGCAGTGAGAGGGGGTGCCTTACAATTCACCACGTGTTCTTCCAAAGGAAACAGGCTCCTCCCAAAGGAAAGCAGTTTCCAGAGGGACCACCAGATGAGCTGGTTCAGCGACCTCAACCTGGAAAATTCAGAGCCTGCCCAGTGTAAGGAGGCAGGGAAGAATTTACTGTATCACCTGGGTTTTGATAGCAGCGATGATGACTTTTGAGCAGCCAACAGTGACTTCAGTTGCTGATTTATGGATCTCAGCTAGATAGACAAATTACAGAACACTTGAACTGGCTCACAGAAAAAAGTCCTTGAAGCCTGCTTGGGGACCCTCATGGTCAGAGGCCCTGCAGGTTATGGTCAGTGGGAATTCAGTTCTGCTGCCCAGGTGAAGGGCATGAGGGACAAGTTCATCCTTGTTTCTTAGAAGGAAATGTGTGGAGATGATGGGGAGGAGACATGGGGCTGCAGCCTGGCAGTGGGCACCATAGCACGACTGTCCTGGGTGAAAGGGCACCCAGCCCCATTCCATATCATTTTTATCTTTGTCCAATTACAGTGCCAGGGAGTGTGCATGTTTCTATCAGAGGACATATTACAGGTCACACCAAGTCAGTTTTCTTGTGAACGGAGGAGGATCAAAACTGTCAACGAAAGACAAATAGCACATACAACTAATTGTCCAGAGCGTCGCTATTTCTATTGACACAGGAGTCAGTTTTTTTCCTGGCTGTTTTTTCCTGTTTTATTCTTCAACCACTCTTAAACTTAGTGACAGTGTCAGCAGACCCATTGTTACTGATGTAAAGCAGTAGGCTTGAGACTTTGGGTTTGCATTTCTATATTCCTAAAGTTGTTGAATTTTTGCAACATGTGTTTCTTTTGTAATTAAAAAATAAATAGGGCCAGGGATTTAGCTCAGTGGTTCCGCCACCTGCCTCGAAAGCACAAGGTCCTGAGTTCAATCCCCAGTACCAAAAAAAATTAATAAAAAATAAAAAATACATATAAAACCTTGAAAGCATTTTCTTTAAGTTTATTGAACTGATCTTCCAATTCAGTTTTTACTTAAGAAATCATATAGATTAGATGTATGCTATCTTTTTATTCTCTAAGTCTCTCAATAATTTTGAATAAACAATATTCCATTCAAACTGGTTTTTCTTTTCCTCTGTTGTATGAAACAAAATCCTCATGGAATGGATGGTTTCCAGAATTTTCCCATTCCCAAGCCAGTGCAGTAAGTGACATTAGAGCCAGGCATAGTGGCACATGCCTGTAATCCCAGCACTCAGGAGGCTGAGGCAGTATTGCTGTGCATTGGAGGCGAGCCTGGGTTATCTAGTGAGACCCTGTCTCAAAAAAAAAAAAAAAAAAAATAACAGACAGGCACTGGGCCTACAGAGTGGACTGTTGTAAAAGCAGTGGTTTTTTACTTCTTATGCTTTATTTCCAGGGATGTATGTCCCATAAAAGTCTAGAGGAACCTGGCCATGGCAGTGTACATCTCCAATTCCAGTTACATGGGAGGCTGAGGCAGGAGGATCATGAATTCAGTCCTGCCTGGGGAACTTAGCAAGACCCTGTCTCAAAAAATACACCTGGGGGGCTGGGGATTTAGCTCAGTGGTGCCATGCCTGCCTAGCAAGCGCAAGGTCCCAAGTTCGATCCTGGGTTCCACACACAAAAAAAGAAAATATAGGGCTAGGAGTGTAGCTCAGTGTGAAAGCCCTCAGTTCATTTCCTAGTACTGCAAAAAGTAAAAGTTAAAAGGGCTGGGAGCCGGGGGGGGGGGGGGTATAGCTCAGTGGCTAGCACTTCGCCTGCTTGGCAAGCACAAGGTCTTGAGTTCAATTCCTGGTACCAAAAACAAAAAAACAACTTAAAGGGCTAGGAATGTAGCACAGCAGTAGAGAACTTGCCAATCGTGCACAAGGCCCTGGGTTCAATCTCTTACTGAAATCTTCCTGAAAAAAACAGTCTGCTAGCACTTGGGAGCCGAAGCCAGAGGAATGATGAGTTTGAGAACAGCCTGAACTATGTAGTAAGACATTTTATCCAAAAGCAAAAAAGTTGGGTACGATGGAGCACACTTGTAATCCCAGCACTCTGGGTGGCTGAGGCTGGAGGGCTGTAAATTTGAGCCCAGCCTGGGCAATAAGATTTTATTTCAAAATAAAAAAGGATGGGGATGTAGCTTCCTGTAAAGGCCCTAGGTTCAATCCTTATACGTAAGAAAAAAAAAGTCTGGAGGAATTGAATTTGCCTGCAACACCGGTGGCAGAGGGGCCAGATTCTAACCTAAACCACTCTCACTCTGGGCAGAGCAGCCTCCCCTGGGGCCAAGGAAGTCGGGTATGGGCAGTGCCTCAGACCTCATTGGCCTCTGTTCTGGGGGCCACAGTGCTTTTCCCTCCTCTGTTCTCTGCAGCCTTCGTGGCCTCCCCTGCAGGTTTCCATTGTTTGTGGAAGGAAGAAGCCCAGCCACACCCTGCGTTCCTTCTAACCCATCCTGGACTGAATTGAGAAGTCTGTTGAGCTGTTAGCATGAGGCTCATAGACCAGAGGACCCTGAATCTCTAAATCTAAATCTTTATTACTCTAAATTGAACAGTTTACTATGTAGTCTTTTTTTTTTTTTTTTTAAATAGATCTGTGTATGTTGCCCTAGCTGGTCTAGAATTCATGGGTTTAAACTGTCCTCCTGCCTCAGCCTCCGTAGGAGATCCTACTACTGGCATGTACCTCTGTGTCCAACTCATCATATGTAGTCATTCATATTTAAAGTTGACACCCTGCGGGGAGAACGCCATCCATATTTATTTATTTTTTGGTACCAGGGATCGAACTCAGGACCTTGTGCTTTTGAGGCAGGTGGCAGCACCAGTGAGCTAAATCCCCAGCCTCCATCTGTATTTATAACCATGACTTTCTTCATGAACAGTCAAGAATACTTTAAAATGCCAAAGAAGGACCTCTGGGTCTTGATTCTGTTGAGTTATAACATCCTGTGTATGAAGTCAAAGTTCCATGAGTCAGGCATTTACAGAATGAGAGATAAACTCTCTCCTAACAAGGTGAGGTTCATTAAAATTACACTGCCTGTCTCCAGTGATCATCAGGAAAGGATATTGTTTCTTATTTTATCCCTAAGGCTTTTACACCCCTTATTTAACACCATGCTCCTGTGGTGTCTTGGCCTTTGCAGATGCTCCTGGAGCTGTATGTGGCTGCACAGGGCAACGTGTGTGTGTGTTTGGGGTGGCTCCTCTCCCCCGCACCACTTCAGCCCAAGGGTGGGAGTGAGGGTGATTATCTGGCTGTTCAGGGTCATTCACCTACAGAAAGGCCTTTCTCAGGCTGGGGATGTAGCTCAATGGCCCTGCACCTGCCTGGCAAGTGCAAGATCCTGAGTTTGATCCCCAGTACTGAGAAAGAAAAAAAAAGGCCTTTCCTCACTCCCTAGTCATACTTGCCACCCACTTCCTTACCTTGTTTTAATTCTCACACAGCCCTCCCTGTGAAATTATGTACTCATTTGTGTACCTGTACTTCACTTGCCCTGCCCAGAGATACAAACTTTAGACACAAGGGTGGCATGTGCCCTGTCTGCCCTGTCCTTGCTGTGACCTCAGGGTGAAGAAAAGTGAGAGGGTCTGACATTAGTGACTTGTACATACTTGCTAAATCCTTACTGAGGACAGGGGTTGACTCTGTTTTTGAGACAGTCTCAAAATGTAGCCCCCCGCAAAGTACCCAGGCGGGCTAGGGATTTAGCTCAGTGGTGATGTGCCTGCCTCATAAGCGAAAGGTCCTGAGTTCGATCCCCAGTACAGGGGGAAAAAAAGTAACCCAGGGTGGCCTCAAACTCAGCCTGCCGAGGGGCCATGCCTGGCTTTTTTTTTTTTTGTAGTATTGGGGATTGAGCCCAGGGCTTTTGCACTATACTACAACCTCACCCATTTATCTCTTTATATATACAAAGTCCACCCAAAAAATGTAAATACACTGCAGGAAAAACTTGTATAAATATTTTAATACTAAATTTATTGAGACACCATGAGATTAATAGAAATTACCTTTGGCCTCTACAATTTTAAGAGGTACTCAAAGTAGTGGCCATTAGCTTCCGGGCATTTATTAGTATGGTGAACTGCTGCTTGGGTAACCCTGGTCATTGAGATTGCTGCACATGCACTTTCAGTTTCTTCTCTACAGGCCAGCAGTGTAGCAGGTTTTCCATGACATACAACATCCTCTAGGGTTCCCTGTATGAGGCTAACATCATCTGTTGAAAAAATATACTATTTTTCTTTACCTGAAGTGTGTATGCATTTTTTTTTTTGGCAGACTGTGTATTTATTTGGGATAGGGTCTCACTAAGTTGCTAAGTTGCCCAGACTAGACTCAAATTTGTGATCCTCCTGCCTCAGCCTCCCAAAGTACAGGGATCACAGGCATAAGCCACTGTGCCCAGCTACGGATTACATCCTTATACAACAGGTTCTTGCAGCCCTGTTCTGAAAACAGCCTTTTTACAGTATCCTTTGCAGTTTCTCTCTCATGTATTTGGCCAAAGAAGCTCTAAATGGCTTCTTATGAAGGGTTTCCTGCAGTATGCCCACTAATCTCTCCCTGCCAGTTCCCAGTAACTTTTCTCTCACCCAAGGTGCCCAGAAAGCACCATCCTGTCCTCAAGAAAGATAGTGGATGCCAGGTGTGGTGGCACACACCTGTAATCCCAGTACTCAGGGGGCTGAGGCAGGAGGATTGCCATGAGTTCAAAGCCACCCCGGGCTACATAGTGAGTTCAAGGCCAGCCTAAACTACATAAAAAACAAAACAAACAAACAAATATACAGCTAGAGCCTAAAATACTAATGTTTTCCCAACACTCTCTAAAAAGTAGGGAAGCCACCTCCTGGCCCACCTGCCCCAGTCTCAGGATGAACATGCTTTTTCAATAATCGTTGACTGTCAGTGGGAATCATCTCCAAAGTCTCCCTTGCTTGCAGGATTCACAGGTAAACACCTGCCATGAGGCATCTTGTGGCTCAGTCAGAGAAGCACCTACCAGAGAGGCACTTGGCCATTTAAAGAGGGAGACGGGCCAGAGTCTGGCCCCTTTTGCAAATCTTCATCAATCTCCAGCCCCTAGATTATCTGTCTCCTCCTTCCTGATCCACAAACCCCTCTGGCACCTCCTGTGGGATGGAAAGGGGAGGGTACAGGAGAAGGGCAAGGACCGGGGCAGGTGGGCCCGCATGGAAGCAGCCTGAGACCAGAGAGAAGGGCAGCTGGGGAGCCCAGGGTGCGGACCATCCTGCAGGGGCACAGGGCTAACAGAAGCGCCCCAGTGCTACCCTGGCAAAGCCCTGAGTCTGGATCCAGATGCCCATGGCCAGAATAGGCAGCCACACTCCAAGTGTGGCAACACTGCCCTCAGGACAGGCAAGGGCAAGATCATGGTTTCCAACTCCTGGCCTTTTTTTCTCCCAGTATTAGGAATCCAATCCAGGGGGTGTTATACCACTGAGCTACATCCCCAACCCTTTTATTATTTTCAGACAAGGTCTCACTAAATTACCCTAGCAGGACTCCAACTTGTGATCCTCCTATCTCAGCCCTCCTCATTGTTGGGATTACAGATGTGTGCCACCATGCACAGCCTTTTGAGAAAGGGTCTCCCTGTGTAACCCAGGATGGCCTTGAACTCACAATCTTCCTGCCTCAGCCTCTTGAGTGCTGGTACTACAGATGTGCACCTCTATGCTTGGTCATACCTCTTGAATTATCCCTTAGAAAGAGCTGCTGCTCTGCCCTGTGGACCTTCACTCAGTTATTCATCCCTCTACTTGCTCCTGTCCTTTTCTACTCAGTCTTCCTTCCAGCCCTCCAGCCTTTCCTTCTAGGAGCTTCTCCAGACCACTCCTGCTTTCAGTGCTGCCCCAAAGCCTCCTGGTCTGTTTACACAGCTGGTTTGTAGTGGCTTTGGCATGAATGCTGGTGGGCTATGGCCATGGGACCTGAGAATCTCCTTACAGGGTTGCATAGGCCCAGACTCTCCTATTCCTTGTGCTGTGTGTGAGTTGAATTTGCAGCTTGCAACTATCAGGTTCCAAATCTATTTATTCTTGAATCTGCCTTGTTTCTATTTTGGTTCTGGTTTCCACACTGCAGTTTGATGTTTCCACAGAGACAGTTCAGAGACTGCTGGCTTGCCAAGATGAACTGGGGCGGGGCGGGCGTGGGGAGACCTGAACAGCGTAACACATTGTTTCTCAGACATGACCAGGTCATCTGTTCCAGCTCCCTGCAAACTAAGGAAGCCTTATTAAATGAGATGTTCTGGACTCCTGTCACCCTCTGGAGCTGAATTCCTGGAGAACAACTGCTCCTACCACATTCTGAGTAGACGAACACACATTTTCCCAAGGCATGGATGCAGCAGACAGCAAAGGTGAGGTCTCCTTGGGGCACCTTTGGGAGGCAGAGACATCAGCAGGGAGCTGAGGAGGCCCATGTGCCAACCCTGCCATCTGGAACAGGCATGCTGGAGCCTTGGCTCATCTTGGTGACCAGTGAGGAAAAGTTCTTCATGCAGGGATGCCAGGCTGAATTGCCTGTTTGATAAATCTGAGTTTTCACACAAAGGCTTTGCGAAAATAAGGTTTCCTGTCTCTCTGGCCAGGGAGAGCCCAAACCCCCTTTCCTACCTCATCCTCTCCTGTGCTGGCCCCTCATTACCAAGGGCCACGGTCTATATCCGGAGCAAAAAAGAATCCTCTCAATTCAGTTTTCTAAAGTTAGGGCTCCATTCACAGCAGCCATTTCCTCTGGAAAGTGCTGCGATCCTGACCAGTGGATGAGGTGCTGAGAAACTGCTCTGAGACCCAGAATACCCAGCTCCCTCTTGTCAGAGTCCTTTAAGCCTTCCTGCTGCAGTCCCTGGATACCACTGTTCGCAGAAACTGACAGTCTGGCCTGGACAAGTACTTGGTGAGGGGTGTCCATGGCAAGCTGATGGAGATGAGGATTTCAAAACCAAACCAAACCATGGGCTAGGGATTTAGCTCAGTGGCACTGCACCTGCCTTGAAACCGAAAGGTCCTGAGTTTGATTCCTGATACTAAAAAACCAAAAAAACCCCTTAGGGCCGGGGTACAGCTCAGTAGTATAGCACTTGCCTAGCATGTGTGATGCCCTGGGTTTGATCCCCAGTACCACAAACACAAATCAAAAAAGTCAGGTGTGGTACACGCCGTAATCCCAGCACTCTGGGAGGCTTTGGCAGGAGGATCAAAAGTTTCAGCTCAGCCTGAGTAACTGAGCAACTTCTCAAGACTGTCTCAAAATGAAAATTTAAAAAAGGATTGGAAGACATAGCTTAGAAGTCCCTGAGTTCAAATCCTTGGGTACACAGTTTTCTTTCTTTCTTTTTTTTTTTTTTTACAGAAATGATAATGCCAACTGCAGATGAATTAGAAAATACAAGAAAAATAAACCAGAGCACCTCTTCTTTCCCCCATAATAGTTTCTTACTACCAAGTACTGGGGATTGAACCCAAGGCCTCACAATAAGCTACACTGCTTTTTTTTTTTTGTAGTACTGGGGATCAAACTCAAGACCTTGTGCTTGAGAGGCAGGGGCTGTGCCACTGAGCTAAATCCCTGGCTCTTTTCTTTCACTGTGCAGCAAGGCTAGCCTCGAATTTGTGATCCTCCTGCCTCAGCCTGACCAAGTACTGGAATTACAAGCATGCACACCCAGCTCTTCTAACAGTTTTTTGCTTGTATCCATTTTTAAAAACTTGGAATCAACTGTACTTTTAAAATTAAATACATTTTAATTTTTTTGAAACAGGGTCTCACTACAAGGCCAGTACAGACTGGCCTTGAACTCTTGGCACTCACTCCTCCTGCCTCAGCTTCTTAGCTGCTGGGGTTACAGGTATGTGCCACCACATCCAGGTTTTAAATTTTAAAATAATTTTAGATGTACAGAAAAATTGCAAATATAATGAGCCCATATATACTCTTTACCCAGCTATGCTAATGTTAACTTCTTAACTGCTTATCTGGTAAAACCAGGAAATGAATATCAAATATCAAAACATTAACTCTAGCATTTGGATTTTACTCATTTTTCCATTAATGTGTTTTTTCTGTTCTAGGATGCAGTCCAAGATTCCACATTCCATTCAGTCAAAATGTCTCCCCGGTCCCTACCGGTCTGAGTTTTTGAGTCTGTTTTTCATGACCTTGATGTCTTGAATGTCTCCAATCTGAGCTGGTCTGTCGACTGTGTTTCGGTTATCAAATGGGGACACATGGGGACATGAGTTTTGGTTAGAATACCTCAGATGGCACCCTCATCACATCCTGTCAGGATGACAGCCACATGACATCACTGGTGAAGACTGACTTGCAGGGTTCTCCAAAGTAAGTTTACAAGTTTTCTTTCCTTTAGTCTTCAGGGAAAGAGTCACTACCTCTAGTTGACCCTTAGTGGGTGGTGATGTGTTAAGGGGTGGGAATTAGGCTCCTATTCCTCTGGAAGTGTTCACTGCCCTGCTCGGTGGGCACATGGGTAATCCCAGTGACTCTGGAGGTTGAGGCAGGAGGATACAAAATTTGAGCCCAGAATGGGCAACTTAGTGAGACCCTGTCTCAAAATAAAAAATAGTACCTGGGTATGGTGGTGCACACCTGTCATGCAGCATTTAGGAGGTTGGAGTAGGAGGGTCACTGTGAGTTCAAGGCCAGCCTGAACTACATAGGGAAACCCTGTCTCAAAAAAAAGAAAAAAAAATCAGAAATGAAAAGATCTGGGCATGGAGGTCAGCACGAAGGGCCTGGGTTTAATAGAGAGAGAGAGAGAGAGAGAGAGAGAGAGAGGAGGAAGAAGAGGAAGAGGAGAGAAGAGAGAGGGAGACTCTAGATAGGGTATTAGGAATGTGGCAGTTTGGGTTTTGAGACAGGGTCTCATTCTGTAGCCCAGAGTGGCCTCAGACTTATGGTGACCCTCCTGCCTTAGCCTCCTAAGTACTGGGATTACCGGCATGTGCTACCAAACCTGGCCTGTTTTGGTTTTTATAAATCTTAAATAGAGTGACATTGCCCCATCCAGCCCATCCATTTTTCATCTGAGCAGGGCCAGGAGAGGATAGTGTGAGGATTAAGAACCTTGCCAGGTGTGATAGTACACACCTGTAGTCCCAGCACTGAGGCTGAGGCAGGTGGATCACCAAAAATTTGAGGCTGGTCTTCGCTACAGAGTGGGCTCAAGGCCAACCTGCATTACATAGGAAGACCCTGTCTCAAAAACAAAAATAGAGGGCTGGAGATTTAGCTCAGTGGTTTCGCTGCCTGCTGCGCAAGCACAAGGACCCAAGTTCCATCCCCAGTACCAAAAAAAAAAAAAAATCTTACAACAAAAATAGAAAGTGGGTGTTTCTGTGAGATGCTTCTGGGAGACATCATCAAACCTTGCCCAATAGTTTATTAAATTTCCTGTGAGAACATCATGGTTTTCATATATTTTTCCAATCTGGTTGTGGTGGTGCACAACTGTAATCCCAGCACTCTGGAAAGCTGAAGCAAAAGGATGACAAGTTCAAGCTTAGCCTGGGCAACTAAGCAACTTATCAAGACATTGTTTCAAAACAATTTTTTTTAAAGGGCTGGGGATGTGACTCAGTGCAAAGGCCCCTGTACTAAAATGTCCCCAGTACTAAAAAGTAATTTTTCCATATAATTTCTGGTGATGTCCTTTATTTCCAAGGGTGGGGCTGTTATGCTTCTGCTATGCTGATGTCCCAGGAGTAGTAGCCTGGCCCCTCCTCTATTCTCTGCTGTCTTGACCTGGCAGGGCTACTGCCATGGGAACCACCTGAGGCTGCCAGGCCTGTAATGGGATGAAGTCCAGGTATGAAGGTGGTCAGGAAAACCACGCTTACCTTTCCTCCTCTTTCCCCTCAGCTGGAGCAGTCTGTGTAGGAGCATGTGGCAGGGAGGCCTAGTGGGACCATCCTGTTGGGGGGCAGGGGCCTCTGCAGAGGTCTTAGGGGTGGGAAGGACAGGGGTGTGGACTGAGGCAAGGTGGGGCTGGACATGAGGAGGGCATGGGGACACACAGGGGCAGGGAGCCCTTATGCAAGCAGAGCTGAGAGTTGAGGTAGTGGAAGGCCCAGCCCAGGTCCAGCTTAATTTTAGTTCTGGGCTAGTCTGGGTTGAGTGGTCCTAGGGGTGCACAGAGCTCACCCTGGTTCTGGCTTCTGTACATTTTCAGGGCTCCTGGAGAAGAACACCAAGACACACCAGAGGCGCAACCCACACCTACACCTACCTGGGTGTGGGTAATGGATATATTGAACATCAACCAAAAAACACTTTTAAGATGTCAAAGTAAAAAAAAAAAAATCAATATTAACATTTCAAAGCAACAGAATACAAAGACTGAGCCCTCAGCTGAAAGAAGAACACAAGTAACAAAGTTAAAAAGGTGGTGGTGACCCAGGTTCTGCCAACCCTTGGAAGAGTGTGACCCCTGGTGACCACTGTGGCTGCTTCTGCACAGGCTCCCTGAGGGCAGCCTCCTGCTGTGAAGAACCAAAGCTAAAATCTTCTTTACTCAATTTGTTATTTAAAATAGGTCATTAGGTTGTAGTCCTCTTCCAAGTCCAGAACAGTCTCAATGATACTCTGATCATCAAAAGCATGCTTGAGGCTGCCAGGGTCAGTACCTGAGGCCTTCAGAGGGCTCTCGTCCAGAAGCAGGGCCCACGCTTCCTCCTGGAAGGGTGAATCTTGGCAGTAACCACATACACGGTTCAATTCATTTTCAAATTCTAGTTTTCCAGCCAATTCTTCAATAGTTTGGATGCTTGTATGGTCTTAAAAATAAGAACATTGGGCTCTGTGATTACAGTGAGTAGTTTCTAAAGGCATTTCAGACACAAGTTAAAAATCATGAATGAGCACTCTACAGACTTCACAGAGCTGAGCATTTTTGTCCCAGGACAGAGGCTTGGTGCCTGTGCTGGTGAGGGTGGAGATGATGGGCAAAGGCAGGAATGACTACAGCCCTCCTGGGGCCACTGGAGGGCACTCAGCCCACTGAAGGTGCAGGCTGACAGAGGTTTTGTGGCTTAGGGTGAACTGCTGCCCTCACCAAGCCTTTTTCATCCTTCATAACCTGGCGACCTTTCAGAGTCACAGGTTCTGGTAGCACCCATGGCTCTGGATCCCTCAACTAGGAGCTGGCTGCCCCCAGGGTTCACATAACACAGAGTACAGAACCATGTGTAGAGTGGAAACACGCACATTACTTTGTTAGCCGTAGCCATCTCCGAGCAAGGGACATAGGAGAGCTCTGAGATTCTCAGCCTTCTAACTTCAGATTACCCACTGGAGCTGGACTCCTCCCTCCTCTCTTCCAGTGTCCTGCTTCCTTCAGATCTAACTTCCTTGCTTTCTGGTACGCAATAGAACTAGACATTTATGAAATGAGCTGATTAATGTGTTACTTCACTAGGTCACTAGTTCTATGAAGGCAGGTTCAGGGTTTGATTAATTCACTGCTCTATGCACAGAATCTACTGTGAGCAAAGCAGATGATAAATCAGTGTTTTTTATTTTTCCTCTAAGTCTTCTGCTGACTCTGGGCCTGTATGAAGGACCTATTCTCCCAAGGAGAGTGGCTGGGGCCTCCTCACTCACCAATCATATCAAGTAGATCCTTCGTGACTTCTTGGCTAGAACTGCTGAGTAGTACGTTTGAGTCAACTTTCACATCTCCCTCCGTATCTTTCCTGCAGTCCCCGAGTGAGAAAGGGGGAAAGGTGGGGAATTAGATCCTTTTTCAAGAAAAATATTGTGGAGATCTCAAAAGACAAAAATTAACTGATGACTTTAAATTGTCATTTATGCTGATGAGAGGATAACTGGAAAGTGCTAACATTAGTTAGGAAACATCATCACGACTCATAACACTACAGGTAGCATTACTCCTTATGAATACCAATATAAATACTTCTGTTGAGCCAGTTAAACTGCTTCTTTTATTCCTTGTTTTGGGGGAAGCCATGATAGAGGGCTGAAATTACATCCAACATGGTTGTCCTTGTGCTAAGTCATGGTGCTTGGAACCAGGCAGTTTGAAACTGCATGAGGGAAGAGGTTAAGGGATATTTAACTTAGTGATGGAGAGGTTTCTGGGAAGGAAGGAAAGCAGAGGAGGCAGAGTTAGGAAGTCCCACATAGCCGACTTGGCTGGCTCTCCCCAGTGTGCGGAAAGGAGGATATCAAGGGCTCCAATTCAAGCACAATAGTTAAGATGAAACTAAGATTTTTTTGGGCCAGGGCTTTAGCTCAGTGGTTCTGCTACCTGCCTCAAAAGCGCAAGGACCCGAGTTCGATCCCTGGTACCAAAAAAAAAAAGAAACTAAGATTTTTGTTTCTGCAGCACAAAAACAAAGCTTTAAAAAACAATCAGGGTGGGGATTCAGCTCAGTGGTTCTGGCACCTGCCTCGCAAGCACAAGGTCCCAAGTTCGATCCCCGGTACCAAAAAAACAAACAAAAAAAACCCAATTAGGTTTAACACTCCCCCTGCAAGGTGATTTCAGTGGCTGGTTTGATATCCAGGATTGACAATCCGGCCCTCAAACAAAACAAAACATAACTGTTTCTGGGCTGGACCTTGATGAATGTGTGAACTTCCCAAAGTCTTAGTGTTTCCCAAGAGAGGAGGCAAGAGCACCCTCAACAGTTTTTCAGAAACAAGAATCTCCTTCACCGTGGCTATTACACTATCAAGTCAGTCACCTTAAGCTTTTTCCCCTCCAGTTCTCCCCGTCTCCTGCAGCTCTCCAGATGGAGGGGTGTGCCAGCACATTCTCCTTGCTGCTCAGAGGTTTTCTCGAGGGGCACAGAGTGTGTGGCTTGGCGCTCACTAGGGTGGGGGTAGGCGCACAGGCCGGGCTCTCGCAGCCCCCGCAGAACTGCGCATGCCCGGGCAGGATGCCGGGGGCCCGGCTGGGCTCCTGGGAACGCCTGACCCCTTCCAAGGCCCGGTCAATGGCTGCAGTCAGCTCCTTTCTGCATCTTCTTAGTTTTTCGGACATTTCTCCCTAAAAGTGACCATGTCCTTGTTATGTAGCATATTGGAACCGCACAGAGAAGCGAGAGCACGAGGTCACCAAGGCAGCTGTGAGGTAGCCCCTAAGCGGGTTTGTCAAGATGTCTTGACACTGCCTGCACCTCAAGGGCAGGGGAAAGACCCAGCCCGTATACCCCAGATCCCCCAGTACAGTATGGCCACCCCACCCAGCTCCAGCCGAAGACCCTCTGTGACCCCCCCCACCTCAGCCCCACCCAGCCCCGCTACTCCTCACCGCGGCCACCGCCCAACAGTCACTGAACTGTGGCCCAACGGTCACTGAGGTCACTGAACTGCGTGAAGGTCACTGAACTACGTGAACTACGTCACTGCGCTGCCCCAGGCCACCCTACCCCATGGGGCAGGTCAAAGGTCAGCCAGAGTACACCCCTCCCGCCACCGCCAGGAGGAGAGATGGCGGGTCTGTAGTCAGGTTCCACAGAAACCCTGAGCCTTGCCTAGGCCCAGTGACGACTGAAGGAGACACACTCAGTAGCTTTGAGAACGACCTTTTAAAGGGATTTTTGTTTTCGATAACAGGGATTAAACTGGGAACCTTGCACTTGTGAGGCAAGTGCAGCACCACTGAACTACAGCCTCAACTTTTTTTTTTTTTTGCGGTACCCGAGACTGAACTCAGGACCTTGCACTTGCGAGGCAGGCATGGTGACACTGAGCTACATCCCTGGCCCCATCCTCAACTTTTAAAGTGATTTCGAATAAAAGTGATACAGAGGGCCGGGGATGTAGCTCAGTGGTTCTGCTGCCTGCCTTGCAAGTGCAAGGTCCCAAGTTCGATCCCCGGTACCAAAAAAAACAAAAAGTGACAGAATCAGTTCATCAAGGAGAGGGGACATAACAGCACTGCCAGGTTCTACAGAGGTCTTGGGCAGGTGCACCCCAACACCGAAAATGATCTCAGTTCATTAGGAAGAGGGAGGTGGAAAATCGATGACTGAATGCAGAAACAGAAAGGGCTTCAGTAGTTAATTTTTATAAAATTATAAACCCATGTCAATGAACAGCAAAGGACAAGGGGACAACAGCAAGTTTACTTGAGGTTTGGTTTACTATGGCCTGACTAGTAAGGTGACCAGGATCAGCACCAGAACCACAAAGTTCTGTTCTGAGCTCACACCAGACTCCGTTGGCATCAAGGTGTCCTCCCCATGCCTGGGCTCCAGCAGACGTGCTCCACTGTGCCGCACACTCTGAGGTGCAGGTCCACAGGCTCCTCTCACCATCTGCTTAAAAAGAACATTCAGCCTGGACATAAACCTCTGAGCAAATGGGGCCTTCTCTCTCTCCTCACAAAGGAAGGGAATTTTCTCCTGTAGTTTTCAGATGCGGTGACCCTCTCCTGGGAGTGGCAATGGTGCTTCGGGGTAGCATCGTCCGAGTCACATCAGTTGGTGTCCATGCTGCAAGCCTCATCGTCCCCCAAGCCCTGCTGTGAACTGCCAGGCCTCATTTCTCCATCACAAGAGCTAAGGAAGCTGGTGAGCGGAGGCTCCTTGCAACAGTCCTCATCCCGACGCTGGTAAAACAGCACATATGCGGCCTTCGTCTAGGACACAGAAGAGGAAAGTCCATTTACTGGTTAAAAAAAAGAGTCCATTTTCCCCAGCTTTTCTCTACCCAGCCAACATTCCCAGGGATTAGCCACCCTGTCCAGCATGCCACAGACATGACCAAGAAGGCCCTGCCACCTGAGGCTGGGTGCTGGTGCCCCTGCTGGGGAAGGGCACAGCAGGTGCTAGGACACAGAACCTGGAAGAAAGCAGAGCTTCTACTTTAGGAAGGATCTCAGAGCAAACAGCAGCCCACTCCACCACATCTGTGGCCTGGCCAATCTGTTGCCTGCGACATGGGCTGGGCTTTACCCCTTGAAAGTAAGAAGGGCACAGTGTAGAGCACTCACCACTATCTGGTCCTCAGAGGCCAGGGACACGTTGCTATCATCAAAGTAATACCATTTCCCACTGAATCTGTTCTTCGCATATGCAGTGTCTGACAAGTAATAAGCAAAACATTCCAGCAGTTGTCAGAAGTTAACCTGGCTTCATTCAAGAGATGCAAATGAAAACAACACTGAGATTTCACCTCACCTCAGAAAGAAAGGCTGTTATCGTGTAATCAACCAATAACAAATGCTGGCGGGGGTGTGGGGAAAGAGGAACCCTACTCCACTGTTGGTGGGAGTGTAAACTGGTGCAACCACTGTGGAAATCAGTATGGAGATACCTCAAAGAACTAGGACTGGAAGTCCCATTTGACCCAGCTATTCCCCTGCTGGGTATCT